TCTTAACGTAAATTCATGGGTTTTTTCCCATATTCATGGCATAGTACATGGATATGGGTTTTCCCATGTTGTCTTGCTGTAAAAGTGGCCACCGGTCTTAGTTAGGACGGCCGGTTTGTTTTGCGCGGCGTAGTTAGGTCGCCGCCCTCCTCGCGAGGCCGGTAACGTAAGTTAGGGCCACTAAAAAAAAAAAAAAAAAAAAAAAAAAAAGCATTCTACACATGTCCGTCAATCTAGCAGCAGTTTGATATTCACGAATCTGCGAGTCTGATACTGCTGTCACCTGGTGGCAATTTTATGTAACTACAGCTGTGAGGCGTTCGATGTAGAGGCGCTAGTGCTTCAGGCCCCGTAATCGCCGTTAAGAAGTTAAAAATCATACAGAGGCGGATCCAGCTCAGAGTTTTTTTTTTTTTGGGGGGGGGGGCAAACCATAACAACTTATCGATTCTTTCCATGCCTCGTCCATAGGCGTAATGTTAAAATTATGCCGTTTGGGAGGGGCAAATGCCCATTTTGCCCCCCCCCCTGGATCCGCCACTGAAATCATATCGGCTGTCTATTTGAATTTGACGTGGTGTCAGTAGCGGCGGAACACCTTCGATTAACCCGCGCCCTGCTGGGGGGGGGTGTTTGAACACCCCCCCTTGTGGTTTTTCGCGAATATCTCAAAAACGGCGGCGCGGAGCGCCGCCGTTTTTGGTACACCTTATCATACATCAATTCTACACATGTTGTGAAAATTTCAGACCAAGGTCATTCAAGGTCAGGTCACCAGGTCACTTGAAGTGACCTCACCTCATAAAAAGTTTCAATATCTGTCATAGCTACACCGAGTGACCGATCGCTTTGAAACTTTCAGCGATTGCTAAGAGCAATAGCATGTACAAAATGTATATCTCAGAATTTTGATATCGATGACCTAAGGTCAGGTCAATTTTGCGACCTCCCCATTATAAGTCAATGGGAGAAAATTGAAATGCGCCTCTTTCGGACAAAAGACATTATAAACACTCCCAAACACCAAATTACAAGTGGTTTAGACACACTGAATATGAAAATGGTGTCCGTGACCCTTGTTTGTGCCCTGAGGTCATCTTAGGTCACGAATGGTATCTAACAGTTTTTCGCAAATAACTTTTGATAGAGGCATGCTAGAGCGATGAAAACGCCTTATATGTGTTCAGCTCGACGATACGGATCGACTGATATGCAACATGACCCTTTCCGGTCAGGTAATGACCTTGACCTGAGGTCAAATTTTCAAGTTGACCTTTTAAGGTCAAGTTATAGTTTATTCGATGCGTCTTGACGAGAGGAACACGATGCCGGTAAAAGTAAGCTCGTACAAGGCTTGGGTCAAAAGTTATTGCAGAAAAACTGTTTCCGAAAAAATCGGCCATTTTTGCAGTTTTTGCCCCCTGCAGGCAAAACCGTTGACGTTAGGTCAAATCTGAGAGAATTACTCAGAAAGGGCGTTAATAGGGCTATCGAATGCGCTTTTCCGCGGCGCTGTAGCTCTATTGGTTCCCGAGTTATGCGTTAGCTTCTTGGAAATTTTCGACATTCGACCTGGAAATCGGCGAAATTTTGCCTTCAATGACCTCTGGTGACCTGACCTTTGACCTGACCAAAAATTTGACCGAAGTGATTTCGTCATTATTTTTTACGCTCTTTCGAACGCCGCCTTCCGCGTATCGCTACGTGGCCCAGGAGCCGAGTTACAAGGGGGGGTGTTCAAACACCCCCCCCCCCCCAGCAGGGCGTGGAAATCCAGGACCCCCAGCCGGGCGCGGGTTAAGGGGGGGGGCACTGCCGACTTTTGGTCCCATTCTTTCCATGCAACGCCCATAGGGCTAATGTTAAAATGCCAAAATCAAAGGGGAGCGCGGTGCCCCTGTGCCCTCCCCGTTCCGCCGCCTATGCGTGGTGTGTGTGTGATCGTCTATTTGACGTAGTAGGTATATGTAACCCTCTATTTGACGTAGTATAGGTATGTGACCGTCTATTTGACGTAGTATAGGTATGTGACCGTCTATTTCACGTCGTGTGTGTGACCGTCTATTTGACGTACCTATGTATTATATGTGACCGTCTGTTTGACGTAGTATATATGCGACCGTCTATTTGACGTGTTGTGTGTGGCCGTCTATGGCGTGCTATATGTGCATAGTAGGCTGCATTTGGGCGGGAGCGAACACGTGCTTGAGGCTGAGCTCAGCACAATGGCACGAGGCACCAGTCCAACAGCCGTGTCACACCAACAACTGAGTGTGAGTCGCGTTTTCGCCATTCCGCGTCAGACCGTCGCCATCTGTTCACTATTGATTATTTTCACCGAGCGACTGTGCTCCGCATGGGTGTCATGATGTTCCCCTTCCAACCCCAAGCTCCCACCTCTGAAGTGGCTAGACGGACGCCTCCTAAGCACAGGCCAGACCACGTACGTACGTATATACGCTATCTATAAATAAACGTCCGTGGGCCAGACACATTCAACAAGCTAATTCGAGCACGGCACGTAGGTAGCACGGTCGCGATGGAAAAAACATGTGGCGAAGCAGTAAATCTGTGATGCAGCCTGATGACCTTTGGTGTGATAAAGGTATGCAGTCGTCTCTGCATACATCTTACCCTGGTGCATAATGCATGAGTGCTTGGGCCGTGTTTTAGGTCAACCTCAATGCCACGCTGCTCAAGAGATGCAGTGCAAGCACCTTTTTCGTCTTATAGGTGCGACTTCTGCGCAGCGAATAAAATACGTTTATGACCCGCGACGTGCGGGGGGGGGGGGGCGTTTCAACGCCCCCTCAGTTTTTTTTTTTTGCAAATGTCGATAACAAAAAGGTATATATAACTTTTCGATATGTTTCGTATTGTTATGTATTCGATATTTCGATAACTTTTCCGCACATGTGAAAATTTCACACCCGATTCGTTCAAGGTCAGGTCACCAGGTCGCATCAAGTGACCTTACCTCAGAAAAACTTAAAAAGCTCGCTTTAGCTACACCGACTGATCGATCACTTTGAAACTTTCAGCTATTGATAAGAGTAGCAGTACCTATGTATAAAATGCATAGGTATCTCGGGTTTTTATACCTATCTGTGACCTAACGTCAGATCAAATTTGCGACCTCTTCATTATACCTAAGTCAATGGGAGAAAATTAAAAAGCGCCTCTCTTCGACGAATGTCGCTCGAAACCCACTCAAACATCACATAATAGGTAAAAACTAGGGTTACCCGCGTGCTCCGCAACGCGAAGGGGGGATTTTTTTTGACCCGTGGGTATTGGGTTGGTCTGTGTCGATTTGGTTGGTAGATATCCATTTCGTTCGATTGCTTTTTGACGGCCAAGCATTTTGTAAGAAAACAAAAAGATACATCGCATCGAGGTGCCCGTGTCGTATTATCATGCGTTCTACTTTAGAATGATTCGAAAACTGGCGTGAAGTCTTTTGAGGGCCATCGATGAATTTCGCTAAAAATGACAATGTAATGGTTTGGAACATTTACATTTTTAACGATACTGTTGCTAATCATGCAAAAATGAAAAGTGAATATTGGACAGAATTGAATGCTCTATCCAATGGTACCATATTCAATTGCCAAAGGTATCAGGTTATGCAGCAAACCCCGTGTGATTAATAAAGTGGCACAAAATTGACAAACACCATTTTCTCCTGTGATTTGCACCACCTTGATTTGGATTAATCAGCTTTTCACAATTTTTATATGAGAGGCGGTACCTTTCTCTTGCAAATAGGCGTTGATTCAACTCGCTCCATTTAACGGTCACCTAAAGATAAAATTAATTCCAAAATCCCTCAAAAACCGCAATTTTTCAAATAAAAGTGCCCTCTCCGATGCACGTGGCGCGTGCTATCCTCTGCATTGCACACCATTCAATAGCCCGTTCAATTCTGTACACGATGCTGTTTTCCCCGTGCCGGTCGGACCCCTGGTCACCAAGATATTGCACGTGAACTGGACCCGTGTCGGCCAAAATTAGCCGTTTTCGCCCGATTTCGCACGCCGATTTAAACATGTAAAGTCTATGACGCGAATTTGCACTTTTTGAGCACGCGCCACGCGCTCCCTATCAATCCGATCGAGCTGAGACACCTCAAAGGCACGTTGCGCATCCTTGATCTATAAGTTGTGCAAATTTCACCGGGCTAGGTGCAACGGTCTGGCCTGTAGTCCACGCAAAGCAACACCAAGTTGGGACCTCGGTAACGGACAGACGCACCCTCCTCAAATAGTAATATAGACAAGCGGCTGCGCCACTTGCTTCGCGGCGTAGCCAGAAAATGCGGCACCAGCCAATTTGCTTTCGAATGGTGTTTGATTTAAATTGATCTGTCGTCTGGAACCAGAGATATGGACGGAAACGTGAAGAGGAAAATTTTGAACATACCTATTCTGAGGGCTTAGTTGGATGAAATTTGTGTCATGCGGGGTCAAGTCAGGTCAAGTTGGCCATCTCTGGTCACACTGGGTCAAGCCAGGTCACCTTCGGTCAGGCCATGTCGTATAGGTCACCACGTCACATTGGATCGGCCTGTACCACACTTCTACTACTTCTACCCATACAACTACTCCTACCACTACCCCTACCACTACCCATACCCCTACTCCTACCACTACCCCTACCACTACCCCTACCCCTACCACTACCACTGCCCCTACTACTACCCCTACCACTACCCCTACTACTGCCTCTACCCCTACCCCTACCACTACCACTACCCCTACCACTACCCCTACCACTACCCCTACTACTACCCCTACCACTACCCCTACTACTACCCCTACCACTACCACTGCCCCTACTACTACCCCTACCACTACCCCTACTACTACCCCTACCCCTACCCCTACCACTACCCCTACCACTACCCCTACCACTACCCCTACTACTACCCCTAACACTACCCCTACCACTACCCCTAATACTACCACTACCCCTACCGCCACTCCTACCAATACTACTACCACTACACTACCACCACTACCACTGGGTCATGTGAGGTCACATGTTATCATATAAACTGATGAACTAAAAAAAGCGTTCCTAACCGTGCTCCTACTCGTGTAATTCCATTATTCTTAATCATATTTGGTGGAAATGGCGCCTTGTGACGAATGTGGCACATTGCGACAAAAGTGGTGCGTTTATTCCTGTCGTTTTGCCATGCATCCTTCCAGCGAATTGCACCTTTATCGGACCATATTTGACAAAGTTGTGCGATTTGCGGCAAAAATAGCGCATGTGGACAAATGTGGCGCACTGGGGCAAACGCGGTGCATTTGGTTAAGCGCATTGAAAACTGTCTTTATTTACTGAAAATCAACACCTTCATTCGCCTCTGTTTATCAAAATAAATAACTTGCCAATCTGCAAATGAGAGGCACCCGCCGCCGATCGTCATGCATTTTAGTTGCAAAGTCCATCAAACCCGGCTGCCGATGCCTTGAAGAATGAGCAAAATTCCGAGGAAATGCGCACTTTTCCAGCGCGTGCCACGTGCAAACCAACCACCCCTCGAGACTCGAAACACGCCACTGCACGTGCGCGTGACGTCATCAACACGCTGCGAAAATTTCAGCCCAATCGACCGCACCGTTTGACCTGTGCACGGCGTCAAAGCATCCCTCTGCACGGTGCAAACAGACACACAGACAGACAGAGTTTCATTTCACAAATAGTATAGTAGACAAGCGGCTGCGCCACTTGCTTCGCGGCGTAGCCATAGAATACGCAGCAGCCAGTTTGCTTTCGAATGGTGTTTGATTCATACCGATGAGCCGTCTGGAAGCAGATACACGTATATAAAGGAATATTCTGATGGCTTAGTTGGATAAAATTTGGGTCATCCGGGGTCAAGTCAGGTCTAGTCGGTCATCCCTGGTCACATTGGGCCAGGCCAGGTCACCTTTCGTCAGGCCAGGTCGTATAGGTCACCACGTCACATTGGATCGGCCTGTACCACACTTCTACTAATTCTACCCATACCACTACCCCTACCACTACCCCTACCCCTACCCCTACCACTACTCCTACCACTACCCCTACCACTACCCCCAACACTACCACTACCCCTACTCCTACCCCTACTACTACCCCTACCACTACCCCTACCACTACCCTACTACTACCCTACTACTACCCCTACCCCTACCCCTACCACTACCCCTTCTACTACCCCTAACACTACCCCTACCCCTAATACTACTACTACTACCCCTACCGCTACTCCTACCAATACTACTACCACTACACCTACCACTACCACTGGGTCATGTGAGGTCACAGACTTTCAGATAAACTGATAAACTAAAAGTGTTCCTAGCCTTGCTCCTAATCTTGTCACTTATTATTCTTAATCATATTTGGTGGAAAATGGAAATGTCGCTTTGTGATAAATGTGGCGCATTGCGACAAAAGTGGTGCATTTGTACTTGTCGTTTTGTCATGCATCCTTCTACCGAATGACACCTTTATCGGACCATATTTGATAAAGTTGTGCGATTTGCGACAAAAATGGCGCCTCGTGACAAATGTGGCGCGTTGCGGCAAGCGCGGTGCATTTGTGTAAGCGTATTAAAAACTCTTTATTTACCGAAAATCAACACCTTCATTCGCCTCTGTTTATCAAAATAAATAAGCTGCCAATCTGCAAATGAGAGGCACCCGCCGCCGATCGTCATGCATTTTATTGTCAAAGGCGATTGAACCCGGCTGCCGATGCCTTGAAGCAAGCTTGAGAGCCGAGCAAAATTTGAAGAAAAAGCACATTTTTCCAGCGCGTGCCACGTGCGAACCATCCACCCCCCGAGACTCGAACCTCGACACTGCACGTGCCCATGACGTCATCAACACCCTGTGAAAATTTCACTCCCATCGACCGCACCGTTTGACCTGTGCACGGCGTCAAAGCACACCTCTGCACGGTGCAAACACACATTCACACAGAAAGACAGAGTTTCATTTCACAAATAGTATAGTAGATGACACACTCAATCGGAGACGTGCTAAAGCGGTGAAAACACGCCAGATGTGTTCAGCTCGACGATAGGGATCGACTGATATGCAACATGACCCTTTCCAGTCAGGTCAAGACCTTGACCTGAGGTCACATTTTCAAAATGACCCTTCAAGGTCAACGTATTCTTCATTCGACGCGTCTGGACGACAGGAACACAATACTGGCATTTGGCAAAACTAATAGCGTGACTCTCTTGAGTTAAAGTTATTACCGAAACGTGAAAGCGGCTACCTAACTATTTTTAGAGTTTTGCCCTCTGAAGGCTAAACCGTTGACCGGACGTTGATCTGAGAACAATAATCAGAAAAGTATGTAAAGGGGCTATCGAATGCGCTTTTCCGCGGCCCTGAAGCTCTTCTGATTGAAGTAAGCCGTTTGCAGTTCCCGAAGTTGTTGAAATGGACAAAATTTGACACTTGATGAACTCTGGCGATCTGACTTTTGACCTGAGCTAAAAAACAAATGACAAAAGTGTTTCGTCATTCTATTTTTTACTCTCTTTGTATACCGCTTACCGCGTGCTGCTACGTGGCCCAGGGGCGGAGCCGAGTTAGACGGGGGGAGGCGTGAAAACGCCCCCCCCCCCACCACGACACGGAAAACTCAGGCCACCAGCACGGCGCGGGATGGTTATCTCAGCCAGTAGACGGGGATTGCATCTGTTTTTAATTTCTATTGAAAGAAAAAAATATGAAATCGATGTCGCCAAACATCCACTGTTCTCTCCCTACGAAAAGTCACATACAACTAAACATTCGAGCGTGACAACATTGATCAATTACTGCACTCCCTCACACACCCACTGGTCCCTCGTTGGACCGAACCGTCCGTATCCGTGCTGGTCTCAGTGTCCTCTGTGACACTCGCTGCCGCGTTTGTGATTCCCACCTTTTCCTCCCGCCGGCTCCTCGCGGCGTTAGTGCTTCCCACCTTTTCCTCCCGCCGACTCCCGGCCAACAGTGCGAACCCAGCGTTGAGCAGCGCGGCGATCAGGGTGAGCCCCGCCAGTCCTGTCATCATCACCGGGAACCCGCGCCAATCCACCACCGCGCCGCCGAGCGGCGGGCCGACCACACTGCCCAGCGCGAACGACGTGCTCAGCACACTCGACACGAAGGCCTGGGTGACCAGGCCGTCCTCCAGTCCGGCGCGGCGCCCCGCCGCCAGCATCAGCTGGAACGAGGGGATGTAGCCGCCGCCGAGCGCCGCTTCCATCAGCACCATGCCCAGGCCGAGCAGCCACCAGCGCGGCTGGAGACCGACCAGCAGCGGCGACGGCGGCGCCAGCAGCAGCGCGACCGACACCACCAGCAGGCCCAGACCGATGAACACGTGCGGACGGCGCGCGCTCTCGGCCACACGCGCCCACACATAGGCCGTGAGCGCGTAGGCGGTCGTGGCGACGGTGAAGTAGAGTCCCAGTGTGGAGGGCGTGACGCCGAGCGCGCGGCCGGCGTACGGCGCCAGCGACGTGTCGAACGTGACGACGATGAAGGGGGTCATGAAGACGTTCAGCATGCAGAGCCAGTTCTGCGGGCTCCTGCAGAAGGTGCGCACCATGGTGACGTAGGGGATGGACTGGCGCTGGCAGTTCTCCAGCGGAGGCAGCAGCCGGTGGATCAGAGCGGCCATCACCAGCAGGGTTCCGCCGGTGACGTAGAAGGGCAGTGAGAACCCGCCCAGCGTGTACAGGCCACTGCCGATGGCCGGCCCCACCGACAGGCCCACCGAGGAGGCGGCGCTGCGCAGCGCCACCGCGCGGCTCGTGCGCGGCCCGAACTGACTGGCGATGATGGTGAGCGCGCAGCCGGAGACGGCCGCCGTGCCGGCCGCCTCGACCAGCCGCGCCAGCAGGCAGCCGGCCGCGAACAGGCGCGGCTCGGCGATGTGCTGCAGCGCCCCAAACACCAACGTGGAGGTCCCGGCGGCAGCCAGACCGAGCGTGTAGAGCCGCGTGACGCCGACCGCGGGCGCCACCCGGCCCACCGCCGGGCTCAGCACCAGCTTGGCCAGCGCGTAGCAGCTGAAGACGGCGCTGATGGCGGTCTGGGAGAGTCCGCGGTCGGCCGCCTCCGCCGGGAAGAACGGAATCATCACGGCCGTCAGCGAGCCGTTCAGTAGGCTCACCAGCGTCAGCGCCGCCATCGTCTTCTTCTGAGTCAGAGTCAGGGGCGGGAGGTCGGCGCTCTCGAATGTCTGGTAAGTCTGGCTGTCCGTTTTACCAGCTACTGGCGGTGGTGGTTCTCCATCACTGGAGTTCCTTCTGCAGTCTCCGTTTGTGTTTTCGCTGTTATCTGTGGATCCATTTATCTGATTGCCGTCTTCGAGCGCTGTCGTCATTGTTTTATTCAGTCGGTGCGACCGGTGTCACAACCTAACGTTATTTGAATACCCAATGTTTCGCTAGTTACTGTGTCTTGTTTGCTCACATCACTAACGCCATAACTGTGTCCGATAGTAATATTTCATTAAGTTCAGCGCTGAAACTGGCTTATTATCACACTAAAGATGCTACTTCCAGCCTCATGGACATGCCACTTCGTCTTCGGGTTCTCAAAGACGAAAGGAAATCTTGCAAATATTTTAATGATTTCGACTCCTCGTTTTCTTTGATATCGTTTCGTCACTCATGAAGATAAACGATCAAGCTGGCGCTATTGCCTATTTGCTTTACCTGTCAGCTACTCTCACCAAATAGACATTTCCACACTCAGTGCCGCACTCGCACGGCCTTTTCACACCTAGAACCCATCCGCCCGCGCTGAGCTCGCTCTGCCAACTGCGCGTCTCATGGCGGCTGGTCAGGGGCCGGGACTGCCGACCGGCCGCGACACACGTGGTCGCGTCAGAGGGCCGCATAATGCATATCAATGGTACAGGGTGACGAACAGTTATTTGAAGTGCTATTGATGTTAGAAAAGGGCACAAACTTGTTTTCTATAGATAAAAGCGAAATAGTTCAAGCCAGTAGGTATATACCTAAATGTTCATCGCATGATAAGAAATCAGAATGACTCCCAAATCAGAGAAATAATTCCCCGATCGCTAGACAATGAGACAATACGAGTACAAATTAATGGATATTCATATTAGCAAATCGTCATTACGGTCGTGGTGGCTTGAATAAGAGAATATTGTCAGCAATGGTATTGCAAGTTGATAAAAAGAGGCTTCCTCAATGTCGACAAAACATTCATCAGACCTACATTAGCCGTCTTTTGCTTCCAACCAAAGGGCCTTAGAGCGCTGCCAATCAAACACACGTCATATGAATGCTCCACGCCTAGTGTTGCACCGGTTGGCCGGAGGTGCCAGCGCAGCTCATTAGGTAAGTGCATCACCCGCCGTCACTGTGAGAGGTCAGCAATGTTCCGACTTTCAGTCCACCGTCACTGCAGCGAGGCCGCATTTACCAGAGAATCAACCGGCGCGCGTGACTTCGTCACCGTATTATTTCGATATTTCATGGACAAAGAGCTTTGAACAGTTGCTAAGCAAGGAGTTAAAAGGGCCTGAAACAAATAGCGAGCAAAGCCTCGACCAAACTTAAAACGGATGCTAGCCCATTGTGTGGTGTGGATAAGTTTATGAATGCACTGTCGTGCAGGTTGTGAAAATCAATATGTGAATGACACAAAGCTCGGACTTTATGCATGGTCCCAACATGACTGCAATAGTCACCGTGTGTCAGGTCCGGCCAAGTCGGTCGAGCCGGCGACACCCCACCTCACGGCCCCAGTCGACCGGCGCAGGCCGAACCGTGAGCACACTGTGTGTGTGCGCGTGTACGCGTGTGATATCTCTGGGCTGTCACTGGGCCACGGTGAATGGTAGGTAATTGAAGATACTGTGTTGGAAGGGTCACAACTGAGACGCAGTGAATGGTAGTGAGGAGGGTGTCATGTGTGCCGTCTGCGATTATTTCGTAGATTAAATGACAATATTTGCGCTTTGACTCAGCAATAAGGTCCGTTCTATATAGGAATTGAGAAAGTAGAGTCACCACCAGTACCTATACATAAATACAAAGAGGGAGGAAAGAAAGCAAATATTAACCCTCGCACCCCCAAAGGTTTTTCACGAATAACTCGCGTAAAAAGCGGCCGATCGCAACGAAACTTTCAATACCCTCGCATTGATCAATTTTACACCTACCCTGAAAATTTCATGACCCTGACCTAAATGACCTTTGACATGTGACCTACTTTCCGAGACCATGTTTGGCCGGTATCGCGATTCGGCGTATGTCGGCTCGCATTAGACGCGCGTTTGCAAGCTTTTCGTAGTTTCAAACGCTCAAACATTTGATTTGATGTTGCTCCCATGCATTAGGGTGGATGTTAAGGTCACCTGAAGGTCAGGTCAGGTCATTGACCTTTGGTGACCTCGGTTCACTTTTCGAGTTTTACATGTTTCTAGGCTAGTTTTTGGAGCTGATTTCGAAGTAAGCAACCATTTGAACATTTACTAAGTAGTTTTGGTGCCTCGTAACATGTTACGAAGCTGTCAGAGGCGGTTGGCACGTATTACGAATACCCGTCACGACCCCTAACGGTTGACCTGACCTGACCCGACCTGGTCTAAATGCTTAACGACATCATCTGTGATCAAAACTAACACGATATTCGTGATCAGCACCCCGAAAAACCCCGTAGCAGCCACGCTTTAAGACTTTCTAACAGGTCCCGATTTTCCCGGTTTTCGGGTCATTGACCTGACCGGGAAGGTCACCCGATGACCTAGGACCTTGAAATTGGATATCATCGGCTTCCTCTCGTGACGGGCAACACGATCGATTTTTTTTCCGCGAAGCTCTAGCTCGATCAGGGGCCAAACGCGAGCGGGGGGGGGGGGGTCGTACCCTCCCCCCTCCTTGTGCCGTCGAAGGACGCAAAATGGCCTGTGCCGGCGAGGGTTAAACGACTTGTCTCAGATGCAGAGCGAGTGATGACATGAATGTGATGGCTCTACTCCTGTTAGTTGCCTGAGGTAAGCTGTATATTAGGTAAGCTATGTATGACATGGTTAGGGATAAAAGTTGCAGCTGCGTGCTCTCGTTTTCTCACATGACCTATATTGTCGATGCAACACTATCCGTCCGTAGGCAGGGGGCACCGACCACAGTGTTCCAGACGCCATTAGTCGGACATGAGCCATGGAGCGCGTCGGATCGCTGGTCCGTCTCGGGAACTTTTCAGACGTGTACACCGAAGAGCTAAAGATCGCCAACTTCCACGTGAGTTTGCCGATAATCATTTACATTGGCTGCGTCATGTTGCTTTTATTGAGGCTGCTTTTTCAGCTTATCGACCAGTTAAGTCTGGTGGACTGTCAGAACTCAGAGGCCTGAGGGCTGTTTGTCTACAGCTGGCTTCTTTATGTATATTTTCGCTTGTTATAGTTATTTCAAACAAGCTTTACAGCAAAAATCGATTTTTTCCAGGACCCTCCGTTCCTCTATGTCGAGGAGATAGGTGAGGGCCGCTATAACTACAGCGGCTACCTGCTGGACCTGTGGGACGTCATGTGCCGCGAACTGAACGTGACGTACCGCATGCTGCCCCCCTCGCCCGGCGGATTCGGTGCTCTCCTGACCAACGGCACCTGGACGGGCATGGTGGGGGAGGTGGTCAGCCAGGTGGGTATTCAGAGCAGAGGGTACGGCACCTGGTCGGGCATGGTGGGGGAGGTGGTCAGCCAGGTGGGTATGCAGAGCAGAGGTGGGAGAACAGGTGGGTATTCAGAGCAGAGGGTACGGCACCTGTACCCAATCTTACCAAATGCCGTGAATACGCATTCACGGCATTTGGTAACACTCACAGCTATTCAACATTCATTTATTCATTCGTTCGGGCAGCATTCATAATCATTCACGCTATCAAAATTATTGGACAAGATGAGCTGGATGTAAATAAAAAGGATATCATTGATATCAATGCCGTTAACTCCGACCAGTGCTGCCAAATCCTATTTACGGCATTGGAAAGATTGGGCCCTGGACGGACATGGTGGGGGAGGTGGTCAGCCAGGTGGGTATTCAGCGCAGCAGGTGGTGTACCATGTGGGTAGACGGTGGTGAGCTCCGACCTCACAGTCCCACAGCGTCACAGTCCCACATGGTCACAGTCCCACCTTCTAGGTCAGGTCAATGACCCCAAAGTCAAGAAAATCGGGACCTGTTAGAACATCGTAAAGTGTGGCTACTATGGTTTTTTTTCGGGGTGCTGATCACGAATATCATGTTAGTTTTAACCCTCGCCCCGTTGGGAGGGAGGGCATTTTGGCGGCCCCCTGTGGTTTTTCCTGAATAGCAAGAAAACGACGGCACGCAGCGCCGCCAAATTTTCAGTACCTTCCCGGGCATCAATTTGACACCTTCACACCAAATTTCAATTCTTAGGTCACCTTAGGTCAGGAGTTATTGAGGTCAAACTGAGGTCATGTTCGAGCAAAAATGAGCAAAAAACATGCAATCTGGAAACGCTCACCAAATCTACAGTTATCAAGCAATTTCAAAGTTCTTTATATGGTCTAGTAGAAAATAGCGACGCTACAAAACTACTATCTCGGATTTTCAAAATTTTGGGCTTTTGACCCAAAAAATTCAAAAAATTGATTTTTTTTAGAAAAACTAAAAAATCAAAATTTTTCCGAATTTCGAAAAAAACCGGAATATATGTGATAGTCCCTGCGCTCTTCTATATACATACCAAATTTCAGATCGATATCTCGTTTTTTGGCCAAGTTATAGCAAAAAAAAAGCTGTTCAAAAATGATGACGTCAAATTTTTGAACTCAATTTTTAGCGATTCTAGACCACGGACGGCAAAACAAAGACCACCATTGAACTCCTTGTGACGAGCTGCATCGATTCGATACCCATTTTATGCAAAAATATTAACTTTGAAATTTGACCTAATTTGACCTGACCTTGACCTGACCTTGACCTGACCTTGACCAAAACGTGACCTAAGCTGGTCCCAAAGGCTACCTGACCCACATAATCGCATTTGTCATGTAAAATGGACCATAAAACATGTATCACACGACACTTTCATATTGTGACCCCCCGGTGACCTGACCTCTGTGACCTGACCTGGTATCAGTGACCTCAAATAGCAAAATATGTGTTTGAAGTACATTTCCCCATCGATGACTTTCAATGAAATGCATTTTACTCGATTTTACAACGCATTTCTTGAAATGCCTGTAAACGGTGAAAATTCGACCTTTGACCTGACCTGTGACGTCATCGGTTTGACCTAGGTCAATAAAATAGGTCACAAGGTAGTTCCTTGATAGGGCTATCCAACACCGTTTGCCGCTTGTCGCTAGGTTGCGTGGTTCTCGAGATCTTAGGGCGGGGGCCAAAATGCCCCCCCCCCCCAACAGGGCGCGTTGCTCGGCAGAGCCCAACGGGGCGCGGGTTAATCACAGATGATGTCTTGATGCTTTTAGGCCAGGTCGGGTCAGGTCAGGTCAGGTCAACCAGTAGGGGTCCTGCCGGGTATTCGTAGTAGGTGTCAGTCGCCTCTGACAGCTTCTTAACATGTTACGAAGGCACCAAAACTACTTCTTAAATGTTCATATGGCTGCTCAATTCGAATTCAGCTCCAAAAACTGGCCTAGAAACATGTAAAGCTCGAAAAAGTGAATCGAGGTCATCAAAGGTCAGTGACCTGACCTGACATTCAGGTGACCTTGACACCCACCCTTATGCATGGGACCAATATCATTTCACATGTTTGAACGCTTGAAACCACGAAAAGACTGCCAACTCGCGGCTAATGCGAGCCGACATACGCCGAATCGCGATTCCGGCCAAACATGGTCACGGAAAAGAGGTCACAGGTCAAAGGTAATTTGGATCAGGGTCATGAAATTTTAAGGATAGGTGTAAAATTGATCAATTCGAGGGTACTGAAAGTTTCGTCGTGATCAGCCGCTTTTTACGAGTTATTCGCGAAAAACCGAGGGGGAGGGGCTGCATCAACCCCCTGTGCCGGCGAGGGTTAATTGAGCACCTGCAAAGATAGCTTGATGACATAGGCTGCAAGACAATTTGATATTATAAATAAGACGGTCATATTCTTCACTATAACGGACAGATTGTCAGACTCCTAATCCATCAAAAGTGAGTGGTTCCATTTATTCCAACCCCAGTTGGGCTCTTATCTATGGCCTTAGAGGATCACTCAGTGAACAGTCGGCCGGGGACTATTGCTTTAAAAATGAACGAAGTCTTATATTAGCAGCGCTGAGCAGTGACATCGGCTACCGAACCAGCCTTAATCTCCATGTACTCTGAATTATTTATAGACCGAAAGTGTCACCGTTAAAACTATCTGAATGTCCGAGAGCGATCATTATACAACATGCAGTGGGTCTGGTCTGGTATGAATAACAGATGACCTGCAAGGTGGCTAATACATGTTTCGACACCGCATTTGGTGTCTCGGTCAGCTGTTGTGGATTTGTTACAATGCGCGACATTTTGTTTGATGCGACGCTGTGACATTCTGTGACGTTTTTTTCCGGCGATTCATCTATCTGACAACATGCGCAGCGCAATGTGTACATGGAACTGGAAGAACATATGTCTGATATCGTGTTAGTGAAGGATGTCAGTCTCAGAGCTTGTGCATGCCATTCTGACAGCGCGTGTTCATGTCATCCCGGGTGCCCCTCTCGTTCAGCGCGCGGACGTGGCGCTCTCGTGGCTGCACTACCGGCGGGACCGGGCTGCTGTCCTCGAGTACCTGGACATGGTGCCCGTCTTCAGCGCCAGCTACGACTTCTTCCTTCGCGCCGGAGAGCGGGACGCGCCGCAGCTGAGCGGCGACGTGTTCTCTTCACTGCTGCGGCCGCTGCACACGAACGTCTGGCTCCTGCTGCGTGAGTGACAACACAAACCCCGACAAATACCCACAAACATCAACAAACAGCGACAAACACTTGTGAACCTCTTTGCTGCGGCCGCTGCAACGCACGTCTGGCTGACACTGCGGGAATTACGAACACAAACACTGACAAACAACGACAAATAATGGCCAACACAAGCACCAGCAAACACCGGCTAATACAAATACCAACCAAAACTGACCAACACATATCAATACGAACACAAAGGCATATAAAACACGGGTCAATAGAAACACCACTAAACAGCAGCAAACACCGCCAATAAACTGCATGTCCAGGCAAAAAGATAATAAATAAATAACGAATGCTCTCAGTGCATGTGTCGCTTCACATGTACTGAGTGTTTGATAGTCATCAAACATGATTTTCCTCCTTTGCGCAAATGTTGAATTAAAGAAAACAAGCCCTCGAATGTATATGGCGTCGCAAACACACGCTCTTTTATATATTTCTGTAGTTTCGGCTAGCATAAGCGACACTTGACCACAGTGCGCCATGAGTATAGCGAATGATAGCGGAATGAATAAGAAAAGGAGTGGCTTTTCACGCCATTAGCTTGATGAAATGTTGCATAAGCGCATATGTACATAATTCCATACCACACACGTGTAGCTAGTAAAATACCAAACAGGACGCAGGACAGTCTTCGAATGATCTGCGACGATGTGTGAATAGGCAGAACTTCACTTATTTGTGAGGTTTTACATGATGTGGCAGTTACGATGACACATCACGACTGTTGACATGCTCGATGTTGGCTGCAGTTTTACAATCGCAGAGACTTTCTTGACCGGTAATTTTGTCTTGGAAGTGCTGACACACATTTTTTCACTTTTATATCTCAAGTATTACAATTCTCATCTGCTGTCCTTGTTTCCGTTTCCAGTGCTGAGCATCCTGGTGCTGTTGGTGATTTACCGTTCATTGTCTGCAGTGCTGAGTATCCTGGTGCTGTTGATCATTTACCGTTCTTTTTCTGCAGTGCTGAGTATCCTGGTACTGTCTGTGGGCCTGACGCTGACGGTCCGTCTCAATCGGGGCCGCGGGGAGACGGAGAGCACGTGCCGCCAGTTCTCTCTGGGCTCCAGCGTCCTGGCCATCTTCATGACCGTCACCGGCCAGGGCTGGTCCGTCCTGCCGGCCTGCCTCTCGGCACGGACCGTCACCATCTCCAGCTGGGTCCTGGGTCAGTCCGAGAACCATCGTGTCCTCCCTCACGATGTTCAGCTGGACTGTCTCTGGGTTCGTGTCCTAGGTTACGATACACAGCTACAATAATAACGCGGTATGCGGCGGCAGTTTCTAGCACTGACCAGCGTTGCGCCCCCGGACACAAAGGCACTTACTGAGCCATTTAAACAGGCCAGTGTGCGCTGATTCACCGACAATCTGAGCCGTCAAGGACACACTGCTGCAGCGATAGACGGTTCACAAATCACTACGGGCTACACAGCACCCGCTCATGAGCCGTGAACTTGTATTCCAGCGGTGAGACGGCATATAAATGCCTATGGACAATGTGCAGAGGTCGCCATTCTCGACACTATAGCATGCACGATTAATTATTCAAAGCAGTCGCCAGGCGTACAATGGCCATGTTTGCTGGCTTGGCCCGTTAAAATGAGCGATGCTGACCGCATGGCGCTATACGGGCGAGTTGGAATTGCGCTCCGGATTCCCTCAAACTCTCGTCACACGCAGAATACAAAAAAAAAAATGTTTTTAACAATTGACTTTACAGTGCACATTGTGTAACTGCACAATAACAGACAACACCCATATCATTTAACAGTAAAGCTAAAATACTTATACGACTACTTAAAATAAAATTTCACTGTTAATGTGTAAATTGATGCCCGATGAGGGTCGCTTAGCGAAAGTTTCACTCGGGTGTATCACGGTCACAGCCCTAAAATAGTCGCAACAACAGCCGCTAGATGTCACCAGTTTCAAGCGCCTGATACATGCTGTGCCGCAGGGTTTGGTGTGTAGTTCTCAGAGCGCTCGCTAGATGTCAGGGATGTCGACCGCCTGAATCATACTGTGCCGCAATGCACAAAGGCTTGGCGGCGCAGCAGTGCTGGCGAGCGACTTGTAGACAGACAAAACGGAAAGAGAGGAGATTGTTGATGTTTGCATTTTGTGGATATTACAGCACTTCTAAAGAAACGGTTTTGAAATGAATTCTGTGTAGAGCTGTCATTCCAATGTGCCATAGGTAATGACTTGTTTTCTGATTAGAGACCATATGGATAATGGAAGGCTTCCGAATACGAACTCGTGCTCAGAGATCCACTCGACTGAGCAGTCTTTTTTTTTCTCTCTCTCTCTCTCTCTCTCTCTCTCTCTCTCTCTCTCTCTCTCTCTCTCTCTCTCTCTCTCTCTCTCTCTCTCTCTCTCTCTCTCTCTCTCTCTCTCTCTCTCTCTCTCTCTCTCTCTCTCTCTCTCTCTGTTTCTCAGGTATTTTGATCAGTATCAACTACACGGCCAACCTGATGTCGTTTCTGACAGTCAGTCGGCCGGAGGCTCCCATCAACAGCTTGGAGGAGTTTGCCGCCAGGGACGACTGGACGTTCGCGATGGAGAGCGGTGTGGGCATCATAGGGGATTGGGCGGTAAGACGACGGGAGGGTGCCTACATAGCTGCTCCTGATTAGCATGGATAGGTATGAGTAGCAATAGACAACTGTATATATTGAGACGGGTTACACAGCACATTCGGGTGGACGCGTTTCGTCTAAATGACTTTATCGACACTCTCTCGGAAATTAAAAACAATACAAACAAGTATACAAGTATTGTTTTTAATTTCCGAGAGGGTGTCGATAAAGTCATTTAGACGAAACGCGTCCACCCGAATGTGCTGTGTAACCCGTCTCAATATATGGATAGGACAGGTATGTTGAATTGTAACCGGTTGTTCAATGGCAAGGATTATTTTTGGTTCAAACATCCAGTTCAACTAAAGTTTAATGAATCAACAACCAACCATGAACGTGCATCGACTAAAAATAAAGTTCAATTGAATATTATTGGGGCTAATCTACTGAACCAGTAGTCAGTAGATGCGTTTCTATTGAACATGTAAATTTATATTTCATTCTGCAAAGGACGTTCCTTCATGCGTACCGTTGCCAATTTCCCAACGATGAGATGTTTCCATGGTAACCATTCGCGCCTCTTCTGCAGACGAGTCGCTTCCCCAGCGAAATGTCGCGTTTCCATGGTAACCATCTGCGCCTCCTCTGCTGCAGAAGAGCGCCTCGGCCAGTGAGCGCCACCTATACCGTCGCGTGGTGACCGGCGAGCGGTTCCTCGCCCTGAACGGCACCCCGGAGGTCATGGCGCGCGCCGCGCGGCCCAACACGCTCCTCTACTACAACATGCCGATGCTGTTCAAGTGGCTGGAGGAGGACGCGTGCCACCTGCTTCCGCTGCGGAAGAAGCACCCCCACCGCCGGGAGGAGCCCAACTACCTGGTGCTGCGCAGGGGACTGGGTGCACTCAGGAACAGGATGAACAAACTGTGAGTTAAAAGATAGGTTTGTGATAACCGGACGGTGTGAAGCAACATTAAAATAAATCGGTAAATGATGATAGAATTAATGAGGTAATTAATGATAGAGTGAGTCTAAGCCTAAAACAGACCACTGATTCATTTTGTTATTGCAACTTGCATACGCATTCAACATATAAATTGGTTTAATAATCACTATATATCAGGGTTGAAAGAGCAAATCAATTTCAAATGGCATGACAATGAAAGCCGCTCTTCCAAACAGACCCACACCACATCCATTAGTACAGATTGCTTGTCCTGGGACCTGGCCTTGGGACACAATCAAACCCCTCCCCCTGCCCCCTCCCCGACCCCACAGAGGCGGCCATTGGCCAGGCCACCGTACAATGAAATGACGCTCAGCGCATTGTTTACTAGCTAAGTCAGCGAAACGACATCGCGCTCAAGCTACAAAACTGCCAAACAATAATCCGGCGCTGTCAAGTTAACGACTGCGCTTTCCCGCACGGCCGATTCTATCTTGTTTATACACGAAGCTTAAAATTGCAATGACCTTTACGATACGAGGGGTATGCGATGGTATACTGTCGGCTCCGCCATGTCAAAGGGGCCTAGTGGACCGGTGTTAGGTTCATAGCACGTTTGCTGGCATTCCAAACTGCAGATGGCACGCAAAGCTACAGTGCAGTAACTTTGCAAACACCCAGTTTAGTGAGTACGATAAGTATTGCAAGGTGCGACTGCATGTACAAAATGCATCATTGGCTCTAAAAAATCGTCATATAATCATAAGGTTGTCTACTGTCTAGGCATCTGGACCGTGAGTATGATGTTATATGAAATATTTTTTTCTATTGCAGCAAGCTCATGAGTTAGGGTTGCGCTACGATTTTCATATTTTAAGCAACCCGGGTGTCGAACCATTTTGACTGAGGCCTATTGGATGGGCAACCATCTTTTCATCGACTCCAGTCTCATCTCAAGGTTTTTGATTTGTGTCTCTACTGTGATGTTTGAACTAGAACATGAATGATGAAACGTACTTCACGCTTACAACCAAAGTAAAATGCATTTATCGACGCATACCAAAAGGCTCATTACACAGCGTAACGCCCAGGTAACTGTGGACTAAGTAACGAAGACAAACTACACGTTAAACACGTTGTTTACACGTTAAACACGCTGTTAAACACGTTGTTAAACACGTGTCGCCAACCACGTGATTGATATGCCAGCAGTGACGTCTCTCCCCACATCGTGTCCGCAGTCTGCAGCGTCTGCTGCAGTCCGGCGCCGTGGACCGCCTGCGGCGCCGCTGGTTCGGCCACGGCCGCCGCCTCTGCGCCGCCGTGGCCGCCGTGCGGCCGCTGACGCTGGCCGACCTGGCCGCCGTGCTGGCCGTCACGCCGCTGGCCGCCGCCGCCGGCTGCCTGCTGCTGGGCGTGGAGCTGCTGGTCAGGCGGCTCGGCAGACGGCGGGACCAGCAGCGGCGGCAGCGGCTCTGGGGGAGGGGAGGTCTGCGACAGCGTCCGGGGTAGGGAGTGGTAGGGGCAAACTAAAGACGGAAACTTTTTGTGATGCTTGAGTCGACCGAATTACATACATAACATGTGAGAGAAGAAAATGTAAAACACTGGTTGCAGAGACGTTGTGATTGAACGGGGTCGCCCTGCCCCCTAGCTCGATTGCCCCGACACCTGGTGGCCAACTGACCACGGCTATTGAAGACGCGAAAGGGGTGCTGATGACGGGGGTCTGCACCTCCATAGTTTTAGTTTTTATGTCCTTAGGTGATTGCCTAGCTCGTCGTTATTTTCGTCTGGTAATAAATATACCTGAAGATCACCTCCCTTCGTCTGTTTTGATCCTAGTTCACGAGGGCTGTTAAGGATGGCAAAACTAGATAGTAGTTTGGCGTGTTCTCGGGCTCCACACACACACAGGGCTCCTTTCACAGTCTATTCCAGACCCCAACTGACCGCCCCGGACCAGTGAGCACCCGCCAGGTCGGGGTTCGGCCAATCACAACGCACCTGATCCACACGGCCAATCACACACTGCCACACACTGTCCACGTCATGTCACCCCACTCAGGCCGCTGAGCCACTATGGAGGTGCAAACACACCACACCATTCCATTCCTCCAACTCACAACTCACAACAGTAGTGTAAATACAGTTTATGTGTCTGCTGTCACATAACCTAGCTACTTATCTTAGTGTCATTTCTTTAAAGAATGCTCAAAAGAAAAGAACATTCTCAGAGTTCTAAGCAATGTACGCTTCTTAGCAGTGAATTACAACCACAAGTGCACAAATGACACCCATCACAAAAGATAAACGGCGTTTACAGCAATATGAGGGCTATTGGCAAACTACTTAGACAAGAAAACACTGACCAAATATAGGTGGTGCGTCTATTGCATTCATGCCACAAGTAGATGGCCTGCTTTTAAATGTGCATAAACAATAAAATATCGCTCCATCTTTATCTCCGTCTCAATAACAGAACCGGTGTTTTGAACAGAACAGAACAGAACAGAACCCGCGCCCCGTAGGTGGATATCTCCCGCGGCTGCAGATACCGCCACCAAACTTTCAGGACCCCTCCGGGCATCAATTTTACACATTATGACAAAAAAAATCCAGAGGCTATGATAGGTTGGCCACAAATGACGTCAGAATAACGTCATGTTCTGCCATTTTCGACCCAAAAAAGGTTTCGCGAGAAGAGCTGTCAGGCCTACAGCTTTGAAGATACAGAAAAATGAATAAGATTTAAAAGGTGTAGAATTGATAGGGCTATAAAACTGCAATCTCGGATTTTTGACATTTCTGGATGTTGGCTCTCAAAAATGAAAAAGATTTTTTTTTTGATATATTACAAAAAATGAATCTAAAAAACGGAATATATATATATGATAGTACCTACCGTTTTCTATCTACATACCAAATTTCAGATCGATATCTCTTTTTTGGCCAAGTTATAGCGAGAAAAGAGCTGTTTAAAAATGATGACGTAAGATTTTCAAGCTCAATTTTTGGCAATTCTAGGCCACGTAGCGCACACCAAATACCACCATTAGACTCTCCGTGACGAGCTGCATCGAATCGATACACGTTTTATGCAAAATATCAAAATTGAAATTTGACCTAATTTGACCTGACCTTGACCTGACCTTCACCAAAACGTGATCTAGGCTGGCCCCAAAGGCTGCCTGACCCACACAATCGCATTTGTCATGTAAAATGGACCATAAAACATGTATCATACGACACTTTCATATTGTGACCCCCAGTGTCCTGACCTCTGTGACCTGACCTAGTATCAGTGACCTCAGATAGCAAAGTATGTGTTTGACGAACAATTTACTGTCGATGGTTTTCAATAACTTACCAATTTACTCGATTTCACAACACATTTCTTGAAATGTCTGTGAACGGTGAAAATCCGATCTTTGACCTGACCTGTGACGTCATCGGTTGGACCGAGTTCAATGAAATTTGGTCACAAGGTAGTTCCCCAGTGGGGCTATCGAATGCCGTTTCAATTTGGAAAATCGGCCGATAAATTTTCGAGATCTTAGGGGGGCCGAAACGTCCCCCCACCCCTTGCCCCCACCTGCGGGTGGTAGGGTCCGCCGATAGCCCTACGGGGCGCGGGTTAACCCTCGCCCGTAAACGGTGTTTTGCCACCTTCTCCCATGCAGGGGTTGGTTGGTGCGACCCCCCTGGCGTTTGAAAACGGAGCGTCGTAGAGCTTAGCGGAAAAGACCAACGGATTGCTCTCAACGAGATCTCGCGGTTGGTGGTATATTTTTTGGTCCTAGGTCAACATTTGACCTACTTATGACCGGTCAAAGGTCAAATTTTCGGAAAAATCTAACTTTTTCAGATTTCCGCGCCGATTGCGGCAAAACGGTAAGAGATATCGACTTGAAACCTTCACTATCGTGATCCTTGATCAATTCCCTATCGTTTGGTGTGTATTTCGATGTCATAACTCTAAAAATGATGCGTTGGGAGCATCGGAAGTCTGCAAGGTCATTTGTGCATTGGGTCAAGTCAGGCGTGTGACGTCACTGACCTGACCCAGACCCAAAATGAACTACAAGAAACAACTGACGATGCCTGAAATGGATAGCAAATCGAATTCAGGGCATCAAAATACCCCGAAAAGGCATACAAGTGCAAGAAGTCATTACAGGTCAACCGAGGTCACTGACCTGACCTTGACCTTTAGTAACCTTGAAAAGGTCAACGGATATTGTGCCAATGTCAAATCAGCCAGTTATGATTCTAAAACAATCCATCAGTGTATCAGGTCAGTCGGCATTTATACCATTGTGAAGCAATCTCCAATTTAGCGTAAATCGGGCCGGAGGTTGTTCCCTTTATGACGTCATAACTCCGTGACCTGACATGACCTTGACAATTTTTTTTTACCAAAAGTTGCGCAAAGGATACCCCAAAGGGTACTGAAAATTTGAGCAGGCTATGTGAAACGGTTCGGCGTGTAGCTAAGAAAAACCTCGGGGGGGGGGGGTGCACCAACCCCGCCTACATGGGCGAGGGTTAAGATACCGCTCATATTAGCCCAGGTGAAGACTAACATTGGTGCTGAGGTCACCACTGGGCCGGCGCTCTGTGCTCGGCCTCAGCGTTTGGTGTGGAGCTGCCTCTCACAGCAGCTGAAAATGCAGGGCAGGCTGCGCGCTCTCCTGACTCGGGCGGCGCCGGCTGCAGCCCCGTCCCTCCCTCTGGCGGCGCTGTCCGCGGTCCCCCGCCGCCGCTGCTGGTCCCGCCGTCTGCCGAGCCGCCTGGCCAGCAGCTCTGCGCCCAGCAGCAGGCAGCCGGCGGCGGCGGCCAGCGGCGTGACGGCCAGCACGGCGGCCAGGTCGGCCAGCGTCAGCGGCCGCACGGCGGCCACGGCGGCGCAGAGGCGGCGGCCGTGGCCGAACCAGCGGCGCCGCAGCCGGTCCACGGCACCGGACTGCAGCAGACGCTGCAGACTGTGGACACACGGTGCAGGGAGGGAGGTACCGTCGGGTATACCGGTCATAGCACTGTCATGATAGACACTCAGAGACAGCCGCTGCTGACTGACAACACGCGGTGAGGGAAAGGGCAGAGGCAGAAACTCATCAATGACATGGGTGGCGACTGGCGAGGTTAACAGAGAAAAATGTAATAAAGTAAATTATTTTTATAATACATCGCCCACGTAGTCACTCAAGTCAATTAAAATTTTTCGATATGCTGCTATGTGTAAGTACATATACATTGTATTTCAGTTGAGACAAGTATAATAACACGGAACAAAAATGATAGACGAACGCGTTTCGGCTAAATCGCCGTCATCAGCGTCTAAAAGGAGAACTTTTTTCTCCTTTTAGACGCTGGTGACGGCGATTTAGCCGAAACGCGTTCGTCTATCATTTTTCTCTGAAATTGTGAAAAAAGTTCAGGAGAACTTTTTTCTCCTTTTAGACGCTGGTGACGGCGATTTAGCCGAAACGCGTTCGTCTATCATTTTTGTTCCGTGTTATTGTACATATACATATAATACATAAAATTCACGATATAGAATTCTACATACTATTGCAAAAAATCGGCCCCTTTGCCCGTAGAGCGTTCGACGTCGCGGTGATTCTGACTCTCCCCCCCCCCCCCTAGTCCCCCACTCACACGTGGTTCATCCTGTCCCGGAGGTGTCCGAGGCCCTTCCTGAGCACCAGGTACTCCGGCACCGTCCACTCCTCGGGCAGCTCCTCGCTCGGCAGCTGAACGAGCTGACACGCCTCCGATCCGACCCGGTGGAAAATGAGCTTCAGGTCATAGAGCACCAGCGTGCGCGGCTGGGTGGCGCGGAGCATGTTTTCCACCGTGCCGTCGAGGGGCACGAAGCGGCTCCGTTCTGTGATCAGACGGTAGAGGTCGCGCCGGGCCGGCGTACTGTTGCGCTGCGGGCAGGGTCATTGGTCAAACATCAGGTCAGGTCAGGTCAGAGTTCAGGGGCCATATTACAAAATAATATCGAGCCATTCGCTGCAAATAAAATCGAGCCAAATAAAGGAGCCTCTGGTGTAGGTAAAATACACGCGTGTCATTGTATGTAGGTGCGTTCTTCTGCTTCCTTTTGCCTGCGAATCAGCTGGTCATTGGTCTCAGGTATGAGGTCATATGTGGTATTGTGAAGTCAATTCTTATACAACACATCAAAGTAAAGTTGCGCTTGTAGAATGCACGAATATCCAGAACGCTGCCACTAATAGGTTACAAGAAAATAACACCATATTCTGCCGTCCAATGGCAAAACCGAACCGCATATGTCGGGTCAGGTCATGAACCGACATATGCGTTTTTGCCTTTGGACGGCAGTATTGGACCGTTTAACCACTACTATCTGTCTGATTCACAAAGTATCAGCGACTTACTGCCCAATCTCCAACACTGCCATGGCCTTCCTCCATAACTAGTGTCCAGTCCTCGTTAGCAATAAACTCCTCCAAGCTGTTGATGGGAGCTTCCGGCCGACT